CATCCGCAGCTTCTCTGGGCAACTTGTTCCAGTGTCTCACCACCCTCACAGTGAAAAATTTATTCTGTATACCTAATCTAAATCTGCCATCCTCCAGTTTAAATCCATTACCCCTCATCCTGTCGCTATATGCCCTTTTAAAAAGTCCCTCCCCATCTCTCCTGTAGCCCCCTTTGAGAACTGGAAGGTGCTCTAAGGTCTCCCTGGAGCCTTCTCTTCTCCAGGCTGAACAACCCCAACTCTCTCAGCCTGTCCTCATAACAGGAGGTGTTCCAGCCCTCTGACCATCTTTGTGGCCCTTCCTCTGGACTTGCTCCAACAGCTCAACATCCTTCTTACATTTCAGTTTGATTTCCCTTTTCAGTGCAGCCAAGAACTGAATGGTATGTGAACTAAGACCAGGTTCTGTATGTCTTCCACTGTACTAAACTTTATGGCAGACTTGCAGCTCCTATGTCAATGAAAGACTGCTGAATCCAGTTTTGTCCAACTTTGTACAGATACAGATAAGCAGAGACATACTGAAAATATTTAGTAATGTATAACAAACAACGCTAAAGACCAGGATGATGTCTACACTGGGTATTTAAAGAATTATAATGACTAAATTTACCAGATAGCAAATAAAATTAAGTCTTGGCTATTTTAAAATATTTTTAACTGACTCAGAAGAGTGTCTCTGGTCAAAATGGCAAGGAAGTTTGGGCAATTATGTCTAAAAGACATCCATTTGCTCACTTCCCTTACCGTTGACTTTTGAGACAATTGCAAATCAGGATAGCAGCACCACAGTCAGTTTTTGAAGAACTCACTCCTTAAAGCAAACATATTTGTGCTGGGGATAAAAAGACTAACTTCACTGCAGGGTCTTGAATCACTGTTCTTTGGGAGTGGAGGGACAGTGAGCTCATCAGTCAAGGAGACCCACAGCTGGATAAATTGTTTTAGAACAATTGGCTTTGCTAGGCAGCTCATGTAAATGCACAAATACTTAGGACCATTGGGGAATTCTGTGGTGTCCTATCTTCTTCCCTCTTAATGTAGTGTTAACTATACATCAGAAAATCTACAGCTTGGCAAAGTGTCTGAAAACAACTTGTAATTAACTCTCAGGCTGTTTGTTCAGTAGCACTTTATCTGCCCCTCAGATCTGCTCAACCTCTGTGACTTCAGAAACATCTCAGGAGTATAGCTGAGGGCAAAATGTAGCAAAGTATGTGAACACACCTACTTTAAATGTTTAAATTATTTTTTTAAAGTCTGCAGCTAGAAGAGCACAGTTGTCAATTTATGTGTTGTGTTTATGGAAAAGGTACTGAATGCAATGGGGTATTGTATTAACTAAACTGGAAATGTACAAAAATTTAAAAATCTACTACAGGTTCTAACAGCGAGTTCCTTCCCTTTTTCAAGATATTTCAAGATTCTTGTTAGAATACACATCTCAGATAGCATTACCTAGTTATGTAAACCAATGATAACATTTCCCGTGAAACTAGGTGAGGATTTAGCAGTGCGTTTTGAAGTGTGACTTTGTTGCTTCACTGTCCTTGTGAGTTGTTAAATATCCATCTAATTTGGAGACCTTATCTGGAACTTTGAATACAGCTAACATTTAAAAGCTGATAGAATAAAACAATTAATTTAGAAATATTAGAGCAAGCCACATAGCTGATAGTAGAATTGCCTTTGTTTAAATGTTCTACATTAGACAAATTAGTCTTAATAATGCCTTCTTAAGCTTATCTTTCTTTTTGAAAAATAAACAGCTAAAAGCATTGTCCTCTGCTACTGACAGATGACAATTATTCAGAAAAGTCTTTGCTTTGGAATTGTCTGTGACATTTCGATACAATACTTGAACAGTTGAATAGGGAATAGAATTTTTATATGACAGCAGTTTATGCTCAGTATTGATATGATAAAGTCTATTTAAAAGAAGCTAAAGAGAATAAGAACCTGGTTAATACTGTAAATTAACCATAAGTGTTATATGCTCTGTCTGAATGCCTGTCTTATCTTTCCCCTGACAGGTTGATAATGTATGGTTTTGTGAAGGCCATGGTACACACCGGCCAGTTAAAAGGATGGGAATTCCACTTCACTGACTGTTTATTTTTTGGATCGCTAATGTCTGCCACAGATCCAGGTAACTGTTTAAAATAAATTACATTTTCAAAAGTCAGAAGAGTAAATAAGAATATAACAACTGCATGTACCATAGAAATGTTCAAAGTCTCTGTTCTTGATTTTTTATTCACATAGCTGTTAAATGTCTGCTATTCTGATAATCGTAAGCCAAATTGGCTCCAGAGATCCCTTGTGTTTGTTTTAGTAACTGGTTTACGTAGGTTTAGCTCACAAACTTTATAAATGAAGCTGCTGGGGAGATTGGAAAAATGTTCTCCAGTCTTCAGGACACCTGCCTGTTCATTGCTGATATGAGAACTGCTGTAACGCTGGAGCTTCATCATTAATAATTTAGACGTTGCACTCATGTGTGATCTAACCCAGTTTAAAGATATGGGGAACCTAGCTTTCAGATTTAGCCACAGAAACACTCTTCATAAGGTATCAGTTTACAATTTGAATGCAGTGCTTCATGATAAATACAGCTCTAAAAAGATAGACACCAACAGGTTGACCTGAATTTACAGATGTGAGATTTAAAGCCCAAAGTTACAGTAAATAGCCAAGTCTGGGAAACAGGCTTAGTGAATTTTGGAATCACAGAATTACAGAATCATTTGGATTTGAAGGGACATCAGAGGTCTTCTCATCCCACCTCCTGCTCAAAACAGGGCTAACCTCAAAGTCAGCCCAGGTTTCATAAATTTGTCCAGGTTTTGTTACTTTGAAAATGTTAATAAGAGTATTCTAACATTAAAAGGAAAGTATTGCTTTTTTGCATCTGTGGGACAATAGTGAAGGAGGAGGTGAAAACAGGATTTTTTGGTATGTTATCTACAAAGAGACAAAGTCTGCAAGGGTACATTGGATTTTTGCAAAATTTTTGGTTGAGCTGTTACAGGAAGTGGAACAGAAAACATTTTATGATGCACATGACATGCTGCATTAGTGTTAGCTACCCTTGAGAAGCTTCTCTGAGAAACTTATGAATAAATCTTTCAAACTCATGGCTATTAAAAGAAACAACAAAAAGGAGATTGTTCTACAATTTTTTTCCGTCCTTTAATCAAACCCACAATATTTAACAAAAGACTTTAAGCTTGTGATTTATCATTCTCATGGCTTAAAAATATGGTGTGAAACAATTTATTTCCACCAAACCAGTTGTTGCAAGATTGCTCTAAAAGCTGCATCAAATTGTTATTCTCAAATTAATCCAAGCATCCAATATGCTGCCAGTTATAAAATCCCCCAACTACTTTGATAAGATTCAGCACATGATTGGAGCCTGTCCTCAGAGCAAGAGAAAAACACAGAAACTGAAAGCACAAATAAAACCCAGGGAAATTGTGTATGGAATAAAAGGTTGCTTACAGCTTTCAAGTACATTTCTTGATTGTGCTATGAATAGAGTTTTGCAGTTGGCTTAGTTTCTTTTCCCATTTTCCAGTCCAATACTATTTACTTTCACATAAGTGTTGACTTATGAGGAGAAATCTATAAGACAAACACACTGATTTTTATTATAATAATATTAAATCATCACTGATTAATCTAGAACAATCATGAGAAAGAAAAGAGAAGCTCCTCTTTCACTGGAAGGAATAGGAAGTGACAAGGATTACTTTTCCCAGATTTTTAAATAGGCTTAAAAAGCTAACACTGCAGTTGAGAAAACTACTTTTAGTGTAACAAACTATCATTGATTAAAACTGTTTGTAATCGCTTTTCTGCTTATATAGAGTCTGTGTATGTCTAGCAGGTTTTTTAATGTTCAGTCTTGCTCCATTTGTTACTTATTCACAATATTCTGGGATGTTACGTTATTACTAATCTTATCTGTAAATTTCAGTCCCTCAAAGACTTAGAAAATTTTGAATGAAATTTTTGCTTAGTTTAAAGGTAGACATTGCTGAAAATATTTAATTTTGTTGTAGAATTTGCTAATGAATTATAATCTCAAGCCATGTAAAGAGCTCATTGGAATTCCAAAATCAGTTAAAATATGGTCACCTGGAGAACTGATACATGCTAGGGCATAAAATAGTGAATTTAATGATTTTATATGTGATATCTACCTTTAAAAAAAAACCAAACCTCTGGTAAAATGTTGTTAGCATCATAGAAGTAGGATAGAAAAATAAATTACTGTCCTAAGATGAAATAATAAATTCTTGTCAGATTTGCTGCCTGATTTTTCATTTAATTCTTCACTGTGTAGGATTAGAAGCTCATTTCCAAGAGACATTTAATTTCCCTTGACCATGGAAAGCAATTAAGTCTCAAAAGATGTTAAAAACTCGTCTGTTGATTTGTCAGAAGTTGTTTGATTGCGTTCCTTATTCATAAAGAAGACTGGTAGATGTTTACTTGTTAAATGAACAGTTTTACTACCAGGGCAGTAAACAAATGTATGCCAGCTAAAAGTTGCTAATACTGTTAGGAAGAAGGAACTAATGTCATAGCACTCTGTAGGTCTTAGTTTTGAAGGGTATTTTAAGATCTTTAATACAGAAATTTTTGCATAAAATTAGTTCAGAAGAATTGCTCCTATATGCTATTGGGTTCCCTTATATAGAAAACTAGCACTTGGACTATTATTAAGAAATTAATTTATGACTTGATATACTTGCATCTGTGTTTTGCATTATAGACTGGGATCCCTAAACGTCTGTGGTACTCAGGGGTGCCTCAAAAAAACTCACAGCTTTAGAAGAAAAAAAAGGTAGAAACTTTAGGGACAAAGCAAGGTTATCTTCAAGTGAATCATTCATTTTATGGGAAATATCTCCTTCTAATTATTTATCATTTTCAGCATAAAGTTTCTCATTTCAAGACTTCAAGTGAGAGGTTTAATTTTTAAGAAACAGAATTTCAAAATTCCCAAATTCTCCCTTCATTAGTCTTTGATTTAAAACATCAGACCAGTATTTATATTTTTCTTTATTCTGATCAGTAGATACCATTTATCATGCAGTTGGGGAAATCATCTCTTCTTGATTTTTCATCTGCATAAACCAGCCCAGATTTCACTGTGTCAATGTTGAAAGGGTTTCCCTTGTGTTGGTATTTATTGTGTTTTAATTTCTAATATAACCTGACTCTGGAAGTTTTTTGGTGTGATCCCTTCAAAGGGGATGGAGCAGTTCCTCCCTATGTTCTGCACATGCATCACTCACCGAGAGCAGCAAAGAGACTGCAGAAGAGGTGCCGGTGTGGGGAATGCAGCCCCCAGCTCTCAGTCCCTGAGCATCAGAGACCTGCAGAATAAAGCTGCCCTATGGGTGAGCATGGGCAAGGATATTCGGACAACAACTGTCCCCTGTGGTGGAAGGGCAGACACAGCAATAAGCCCCAGGAGTAGGCTGCTCCAGGGTACCAGTGTTTGTAATGGAATAAGGCGAATGGCAGAACAAATGCATGAGAAGATTTGACCCCTGCCTTAGCCACCGAAAAATAACTGGAAAGCACAAGTTTGGCAGTTTGTCTGAGCTGTTGTTATTAACACATTTTGTGCAATGACCTTCCAATCCAAGATATTTCATGTATCTTTAGCACTTCTCTTTTTTTTTAACTTTTGACATTTCAGGCACAGAGAACAGATTTACCTTCACAAGGTTTGCTGAAGCACAGCTGTTTCTGAGCTCTGTGAACTCCCATGCCGTTGGTCATATTGATAATCACAGGGCTCTTCTCTATTTGAAGTTACTATGGTTACAGCTGAACTCGAAATGGGAGTTGTGCTGCTGTTGTTATTGATAAAATGGGGTATTTATCAGAAAGAGCAGTTTCTCATAAAATCAGATTTTGCATTAAGAAGCATAATTTCTAAATACAGCAAGGTAATACATTTTATACACTGGTTATATAAGACTGTTTATAAATGTGTTTTTAATTAAAATATTTTTATGCTTTCTTCTTATTCACCACTGAACTAATCTGTGAGTGGCATGACTGATTAGTAGAGAAAGGAGACTAAAATTAAAAATGGACTTGTTATTTTTAGAGAAAAACAGATAGGAAATATAAGTGAGATTTCTCTCATCTTATTTTCTTCCCATTAGATACTGCCTTTCTTCAAGAATTAGGTCCATGAGCTATAAAAGATATTAATAATTCTAGTCAGAGGACTGAGGTACAATAATACCAGTACTTTATATAATGGTCTAATTTATTTTCTGAGCTTCTTTATTCTTTTCAAATGCAACAGCAAAGAAATATTGGATACAGTTAGCTTAGGGGTTGTTGTAGTTTGCTGATATTTAAGTTATACATACTTTTTACAGGAATTAATAACAAGCCAATTTGTTTCTACATACATCAATACATAAATTAACTTTCTTCAAAAGCAGAGTATCGCGTCCCTTTTAATATGCCCGTTCTGAACTACATCCATAGAGGCTCACAGTCAATGAGGGCACATGTGATCCTGAGGAAATGACTAGACAGTGGTTGGCAAAACAAGGTGAAAACGTTCTGTTGAACTCTTAAACGGGGTGGATGTGCTAAAGATTACACAGTACTCTGTTCTTATGCAGATACTACTTAATATTTTCGTTAATGAGTCGGCTAATGCAATAGAGGATGCTTCTTTAATGTATAATTCTATGCTGAGTGGAGATTGCAAATACTTTGAAGGACACGATTAGAACTCAATATGATTCCTCCAGTGATTCAAAATCAACAAGGATAAATGCTATACTTAGAAATAATCAACTTCATGGATAGAAGATAAGAAATGAGCATTCACTGCTGAAAAGGATTTCAACTTACAACCTGAAAATGAGTCATCAGTACCAATACATAGCAAAAAAAAGGAAAACAGGATTTATTAACATGTACTACAGAATATTTTCACTCTATTTCTTGACAGCAAGAGTCAACTACATTACTTGGATCATGGGCACTGTATTTCAAGAAAGATATGGACTGATTGGAAGTGATTAGAGGGCTAGAAACCATTACTGAAAGGAGGAGATGGAAAGAAGCGTCAGTTTAGGGAGGAGATGTCTGAAATTAGTCTTTGAATAGGCAAAATGTTGCTGGAAAGAAAAAGGGAATAAACATGACAAATTATTCATGTCTCATTAGGCTAGGAACGGAAATTACAGACTCGAAGAGCAGGAGGGGAGATTCAGGTTAGACATTCAGGAACAATTGCATTTATAAATTGTATGAATCCTGAAGCGCAGGTTAGTCTCCCTCGGGATTTGTGGAACCAGCATCACTTCAGTTCTTTAAAAACAGATCAGATAAATACCTGTCACAACTGGTATGGCTGAAGCTTGCTGTGTCCTGGGCCAGACAAACATAGAGCAGAGACCAGAATTCTTCAGTCAGGGACAGGCAATGGCTGTAAAGAAGATCCAATAACCTCCATTGGGAATGGGAGAAATATTTGAAATGGAAGATGTTTTCTGGTAACTGGGTGAACTGGGGAGTCTCTCCCAGAAGACACTGTTGATGTATTACTGTGCTGCTTGCTTTATTATCTTGGTTTCATTTGAAAAGATTATAAATCAGATTTTTAGGGTAGAGTTGGGAGAGAAAAGAAGAGAAAACTGTTTCCTTTGGAGGCAGGAGAGGAACGTGTAGGCATCTGTCTAATTGGCTTGGTCTGCTACACATACAAACCAACAACACATTGGACTTTGATTACCATTTTCTTTTCCTTCTATCATTATCGCAGGGACTCTTAATGTGAGCCCAAACTAATTAGCTAATAAGCAAGAGCTGGAAGTGGCAAACAGTTCTAGAAAACAAGTCTGCTGTTATGCCATTGACATCAAAGAACAGGAGACTAAATTGGGTCCACATTTAACACATTAAGGCAGCATTGCTAACCGAGAAAAAACCTGAATATAGATACTGGTGAACCAAGAGAACATATTTTGCCAATAAACTTCCTACACCTTTGAGCTGTTCTAGGGAAGGAACTCTTTTCCTAGTTTATAATATAACTTCACTGGGAGTAGATGGGCGAGGTTACCAGAATGGTTAAATATAACTAGCTAATTTAAATATAGCTATACCAGCAAATGTTCAGCTACACACATTTTCTGAATTGTCTTTTGTAGAATAACACTTCCCAAGTCCTTCAAAGATAACACATCAACAGAGATCACTTTGACATAAAATCTCACAGGAGAACAGAGAATCTGGTTTGGGTTTATAAACTGATTTTTAGATTAACCAGATAGTTAAGTTCCATTTAGAAAATCTTATCAGTAATTATTTGAAAGTTCCAAGAAATGTTATTTAAGACAAAGCATGATCACCTGTTCATGTTTTTGTGAGAATTATCAGCAGTCATCTCAATGTAAAAGTATATAATTTTTGTTTCTGAAATGTCAGATGTTGACCTGGCATCCCAGAGGCACTCCTAATCTTTGGCGTTCCTGGGCTATGAGAATTGAGTCAATTGTACAATTATGTACTAGAATGAGCACCAGTGAAGCAGCGAGTTGCCATGTAATTTTTAACCATACAAAGAATTGGCAACCCTTACATTAAATTCTGTTTGAAAAGAGAAAGCTCTGCTTCATCCATACAAAGAGAGAATAATAGTATCAACACAGAACACAGAGAGCCTTCTTCATTTGGAGATTATGAAGTGCTCGGTACAGGTAAGGAAACTGAGGCATAAAACAACTAAGGCATCTGTAATATCTATAGGACCTAATTACCTGAATATGAGCCAAGTGTCTAAATGTCCTTGAAGATGTGTGTCAAAATTATTTATCCAATTTAAATTCAACACACACTATTTTTTCTATTGCACTAGTAAGCTAAAAATCAAATATAGCATACAACTCGGGGAGAAGGAAGGGACTTAAATTAATGTTATATTGAAGGAACCTTAGAATGGATTACACGTATCAGACATCCTGATCTGGATGAGAGGGCTTCATGGCTACAGACATGCTACACTCGAGGTGAAAGTGGTTATGCTGCTGGTGGAACAGGCTATAAGGTTAGTATGTACGTTCCTCAGTGAACATGCGTAACAGATAGATAAGCATTATTATATCTTTAAAATACATAAACCACTACTCTCACCACACACATAGTCTATGGCAAAACCCAAGTTTTTTCAACACCCTTATTTCTCCCTGGTTACAAGATCACAGTCCTTTATGCACAGTAAAATATGCTGTGACGTTTTAATTTATGCACAATTCTCTGTGTGAGAGGGAAATTTTCTTCCTAACACAGCTGGAGCACCAAAACTCATAGACTTGCTGGATTTAAGGATCTTACATACTTCAGCTGATCCTTTTAAACTTTTTATTATGCACTTAAGTAATAAATAGGGCTGGACTTCTGAAAACCCATTTTTTAAGATTGCTTTATTTCTTAAACTGCCAGAGGAATATGAAAATAACAAACTCACTTTGCTTTGTCTCCATACAGTGACAGTCCTTGCTATTTTCCATGAGCTGCATGTGGATACAGATTTGTACACACTCCTGTTTGGAGAGAGTGTCCTAAATGATGCTGTGGCTATCGTGCTGACATAGTAAGTACTGACGTAATTGTCACTGATATAGTTGTGCAAGTACAGATATAACATTTGAAAATTTCAGAGAGATGTTGCTGGAGTTGCTCTTGGTTTGTTTAAACACCAGAATTCCAATATTGCTAATGGCAACTGTGAATCTAGAATACAATTTTAGTTAATTTTCTTCAACCTAGAAAGCAGTATATTCTGTAAAATGTGTAAATTTAATTTAAAATGATTTTTTTTTCTCATCTAAACAAGATATCTTGAAAATGTAATGCTGAATGAGCACCTAGGACATATGGCAACTATGAAATTGAAGACAGACTCTTTATTTTTTGCACTCTATTCTTTTCCAAGACTGAAACCATAAAATGGTACACAATAGCTCGGTTTATCTACTTCTGCCTGTTAAATCTGAGAGAGCTTCAGACGATAATGTCTTAAATTTATATATAGCTTTTTTATTCTCAGGAATCTTCAAGCAGATCACAAATGATGGGCTAAAATCACACAAGTATGTGCTGTCCTAAAAACATGGATGCTAAGTACATGATTAACAGGATCTCAAATTAACTCCACTCTACATGTAATATATATTCCTGGAGCTTTGCTAGAAATACAAATAATCCTCTCAGATAATCTTAAAAGTAACAGAACTCTACAAAATCAAATTCAGTTTTCTGGGATGCTTGAAGATGCTCCACAGTAAGCCTCAATTCAGTGCCACCTTTCTCCTTAAAATACAGTTCCTTGAGCTAGGATTTATCCTATCCTTCAGAAAAATAGACTTTTACAGAGTTTACATTCATTAAAAAATGAGCTTTATATTTTGTCTGAAACCCCATGGAGAAACTTTTAATAGCTGATTTGCAAAAAAAAACTAAAAAACCAACCAAACAAAGTTGTCTCACAATACAAAAAAAAATAGTATTCCTTTTCAATTTATTGTTCTCCAATTATCAGTCTAGTTACATTCAACTACACTAAACTCCTCACATTGTTTTCAGAGCAAGAGTAATATTTTCAAATGCTGTCAGGTGTCTGAGCACAGCATTTCATGATTAGATACAGCACAGCTGTCACATTCAGTGACTGTGGTTGGAAAATGTCACTTAGGAGAGCACCTAGTACATCAGAAAATAAAATGCACCAAAGGAAAACCAAGCAAAGAATAGAAACCTCCATAGAGAGAAAAGGTAGAAAAGCGTTAAAGCAGCCATTAGAATTGGAAATGAGCATGTAGGTGACAAAATTCTGAGATTTTTTTTTCTCTCTCACTTGGCTTTGTTTAATGACAGCCCAGCTCTTTCGGACTCCTCAGCTGTTAGTGCCAGGTTCCTATAGACCATGGAAAAGTCAGACTACAAGCAACTCAAGGAGACCCAGAATATTTTAAGTGTCTGTAGTTTTCAGTCATTGTGATGTCAGAGCACATGAATCTCTTCAAAGGTGCAACTCAACTGCGAAGCAAAGCTAGGAAGAAAAGTCCCATCAGACAGTACACAATTCCTGAGTTTCTAACCTCTACCCTACCCAGCACTCCAGTCTAGGGCATGACCCTCAGCCTGCACGTGGATACAGAAATCTGTAGGAAGGACGCCTGATGCAAATGTTGGCTATCTCCTTCTCGTGTTTTCTATGCTGTACATGGGAGATTACAACTCTTTTTTACTATAGGATCTCTTGTCACTGTAAAAGTAGTGTATTTTTCTATATATTCAGTGTGACTGATACTTTCATTTCTGTAATATATTTAGTCATTTATAGAGACTGAAGAGAATATATGGCATCACCAGTTTCGCATGTCATTAATTTCTGGCTTAAATAATCAGCTTCTGCACAAATACAATGTTTCTGCAACCTAACACGATCTTCCTTCCCGTAGCCTTTGAAGTAAAGATACGCTGTTAATAATGTCAGCTTCAGTGCATTAACACCCCGCTAAACCAAAACGAATTTAAATGAACAATATTAATTTTTTGTCACTGCAAAAGAACAGCTAGGTTTTTTTCCCTGTAACACATAGCACTTTTCAGGATGGTACAAACACAACATGTTCGTAATTACACTAATAGGGGACTATTTAAAAAGGTGTGAGAATAATGTTTACAAATCTGGAAAAGCAATAATAAGCCATTTTGTACACTACGTAATGGCAAACAGAGAATAAGAGAACACATGATGTCTTTCATCAAGTAACAGAATACCCAAGTTAATGTCTGCAGGAGTGCCTCACTGCAGGGCAGCGAGGAAGAGGAGAGCGGGATGGCCCTTGGGGCGGGCTGCGGCAGTTTGGCATGGAGAAGGTGGGGTGGCTGTCTGCCAACAAGGCTTCGTATGGAGATCTCTCTTTGCCTTTGGCTTCTCCCTCTAACTTCTATTTTCCTATGCTGTTTATCGCTTAGTGTAAGAAGGGCAGCAGCAGGGCCAGCTTCCCCTACATTTCTCATATGGATTTAGTAAGTCACATTAGTGGTGTGTTGCTGCAACAGTGGCCAGTTGCCCCCAGAAAACACTGACCGAGCACGAGTTCTCCAGGCCAAATGAGCGGCTCTCCTACAGGCCACCTTGCCATACTAAACACCTGGGTGTTTGTGATAATTGCAAGATTGCTATTTTGAGGTAATCTGTGCAGGAGGGATCACTGTGAATCAAACTGGCAGCAGTGGCTGCAGAAAGGCTGACGGGCTGGTGTGCATCTGGGAGAGCTCACACACACAAGGGCCTCGTAAGCAAGGGTACTGTAGATGGAACAAGGATTTTCTCCTATATAAATACCTTGCAGAGTTTCTTATAACTTTTCATTGTTAGGACAAAAGTCTCCTCTAAATAAAAAGCCTGTGAAAATTCTCACAGAAAAGAAACATTTTGGAAGAAAACAAGGATTTAAATATTCAAAATGAGTAGTAATATTTGAGCCTGTTTTTTATCAAGGATTTAAGATACTAAGGAAAATTATAACAGAGCCCTACAAGGGAATACTTATTAGATGACTAAACATGTCTGCTTTTATCCAGAAAAAAACTATATGACTAATTATGCCACAAATATTTCCTAGTACTTTGTTTTCCAGGAAATTGACTCGGCACCCATGTCCACTTTCTATGTCTGTTTACAGCATAAGCTATCTGTTAAAGTATTTTATATATGCTAAAATTAAAACAAATAAAACATATGTAGGAAAAATAAGATATTTGAGCTTCTTTTGGGTGTGTTTAAATCTTCTTATAGTCTTTATGATTAGAGATTGTTTCATTATTTGGAATTTAATTTTAAACAACTGATTATAGCAACCTTTTATGAAAAGATCTTTCCAATCATGTTTTTATTACAATTCTTAAGAAATTATTCTCAGTTCTTCAGATACATTGTATTTCACAACCAATAAGTTTACCTGAGTTTATTCTGCAGCTTCCAGAATGAAAGAAGGATCATTTAAGATTTCTTTTTTATCTTTTTGACATAATGTATACTGCATAGAATGACTTATTTTGCTTTCTTGGGGATTGCAGTGAATATTTTCATAAAGGATTCCAGATGATAGTGTTTTTACCACTGTTTGCATCATCTAACTCCTGGGTTTTCAACTTATTCAGATTTTTTTGCAAAAATATTAACAACAAAATTTAGCTTACAAATGTTCCATCATATTTAGCTCTAAATTTAACCTTCTGCCATCCAATTCCCCAAACATCATAAAGCAGCAGTTTGTTCAGCTTCGGATATGCGTAGTCATTCATGCTATAGGATGCAGCATTCAGGGTGATCTATTTCATTCCTAGATGTCAGAACCAGGAGCGTTTATCATTGCTTAGATTTGTAGATGATACTTTACAGACAAATACAATGGACTGTGTACTTAGGCACTTATTAGCTGTGGATGACATACTAAAGATCAAAATTGAGAAACATCCCAGTAACTTCAGTTGGAGTTGTGTGTAATGAAGACTGTAGAATATGGTTGAAAATTAATAATTTATCTTTGAGAAAATAATGAAGAATAACCTCTTATTTAACTTTCAGTCCTTTTTTGTTGTTCGTTGTACCACATATCACTTGTAGAAGAAAACATCCACGTATGTTTTGAGTGCACATGCTGTAGGTTTGGACTTGGCATCGTTTTGTACATTTGCAGAGAAATTTGATGAAGAAAATGTGGAAGAAGTTGTAGAAAAAGCATTGAATACCTTGAGATGTGACTGAAAAAGTAGCTGAACAGGTCATTAACATTGAGACAGTATATTTAGCAGAGCTATTTAATCTTTCTCATGCTGAGTGCTCAGCAAGTGCAGGATGTGGAAAGCAGTAATGAATACTGATACGTGTTCCCTGCTAACAAATTATCCAAGAGAACATTACATGAGAGATGCTTCCATTGTAGTCAGTGGCAGAAGTGTTTGTATCATCGTTATGCGAAAGACAGGACTCCATTTCTCCGCTGGCTCTGTACCATTGCTCAGTGGGAGTTTCATCCGCTTTCCTAGAAGAGGTAATAATGTGGAAGTCACATGGGCAGCAGGGACATCAGCATCTGACATTGACTTTCACAATTAATCTAAACAAGCGAGTGGCAGCCAGGGGACACAGGACACATGACATTGTGACATGTGTGACATGTGGCAAAGAATGGATTTACTAGCTCTGTTATGTGCAATCAAGAAGAGTTTGATACATGAATGAAGTGGAAATCCTGGAGATAAAAGCACGGTTGAGGATCACATGGCAGTGAAGCCAGAGAACACAGAAACTAGCTGACGTATGAAATGAAGACCTCCCGTGTCAAAATGCTAATTGCCCTAGAACTCCTGGAAGTATAGATATTTCTGGGCAGAGAGGAAAGTAATACTGTAAGCATAGTTTTCTTGTGAAGTTTGACTTGCCATTTTTAAGTCAAGTGCCTTAAATGGTGTGTAAAGAAAGAGATTATAACCTTGGAGGTTCAGAAGAAGATGAAGAAGAAAGTAAACAAAAAATACTGGATAGTTTTGAAATGAATATCCTGCCTCTTTTGTAAA